CTAACAACAGCTTATCAAGCTTAAACGTGCTGCTGTTGTTCAGCCGCTGGTTTCCTCTTTCTGGTGCGAAGTGGGCCAAAAATAAACAAGTGAGATGGAGTCGCGACAGAAAAGCCGAAGTAGCAGCAAGAAGAGGCAGTCGCTCAAGGTATCGGTTGTTAAGCTTAACGCGGGAATGCTTTACAAAAATTCAGAGATGAACTTACACACTTGCTTCACTTCTCTGTGGGATAACTTTCTTGGAGATGAAATGCTGGTTTGGTAGCGAGGCTCCAAATACACACAGCCGCTCTATCACATGAGCACACTGCTCCGACGTGCTACAGTTATGAGCCGAGTTACGCTGTGTCGCAAGTTTTGTGAGGTGCTTTTTTTATATTTAATGGATCGGATTACATTTTTTTATTTCCCTCCGATATCCGATCCAGTAATTTACGTCAGTATCGGACCGATACCGATACGTAATATCGGATCGGTCCATCTCTAGTTCTAACCAGATGAAATGAACACCTGCTCAACAGTAAAAATACTCTTAGAGCTTAAATACTATCCAGCAACTGAGATCTGTTACAATAAGAAGGAAGCTGTCATTAATCAAATTGTTTTTATGGACATTCCTGGAGTTGGCCAGTAGGACGCTTGTAAAAAGGTATCACAGGGGCCTTTGATAAGAAGACAATTAGACAGAAAACAGCTGGATGAGTTTCCTTTATTTTATCCTTCTATGAACTGATTACAATCTGAAGTGTTGAGAAGTAAGGAGAGCCAGTCACACTACTTTGATGTAAAGATTGGGATGGGTCTCACGGCCAAGTTGCATGACACCTGCTACAGACCTTCAAGCAAAATCTCCCCAATCTGAAAGAAAAGATAGATGAATGTTATCTTATGACTAAACTGTTAATATTTAAAATGCAAAAGACAAACATTCAAAAGGTCACAAAAAAGATGAAAATATGAGAAAATCTCAAACCTGAACATGAGGAGGGGCACTGAGCACATATGTGATGGCACTGACAATGTCTTTTGCTTCCAGGGGCTATCAAAGAAGTTAAAAGTGCTTAATAAAATTTTAGCCGAATAATCACATCAACAATTCTGTAGGAATTGTAGGAAATAAAGGAATAATAATTTTACCTTATATATAGTGTATAAAGCAGCTGCTTTATCATAATTATCTCTGTAGAGGCGTGATGCAAATTCTGTCTCCACAAAGCCAGGAGAAATGCTCTGCAAAATGACATTATTAATGAGGATTCTTCAAGAAGTACTCTGTGTGCATCTCATAACAGCTGACATTAGTGTTAAAGGTACTTTGGAGCTGGTTATAGTGTCTTTCAAAGGCTTACTGTGGCCCGGATATGAGTGTTTTCTGCACGCAGCTCCTGCCTCAGGCCCTCAGTCAGGGCAGTTACAGCATACTTGGTGGCGGTGTAGAAATGTGTGTCAGCATTAGGAAGCACTTGATGACCGCACACACTGCAACAGAAGGATATTTACAAGCTGCTAATCAAATCAGCATTTACCAACATATTCTGATTTGATCTCAGGCCTTAGTGTTACAACAACAATGGCAACAGCTACTATATAGTTTAACATCCCTCTCTTTTTTTCTGCTTATCTAATTCGGGGTTCTGGAGCCTCGGGTACAGCCTGGACAGGTTCCAAGTCTGTCACAGGGCTAACACAGAGACACAGACACGATTCAACTAAACTAACCCAACTAACTGCATGTCTTTGGACTATGTGGGAAAGTGAGAATTCCTGCAGACACAGGGAGAAGATGCAAACTACACAGAGAAAGACACTGGCCAGATGCTGGATTTGAACCCAGAAGTTGTGAGATAACAGTGTTAACCAATGCATCACCATGCTGTTGTGCTGTAACTTAACAGTTTCTATATAATTTATAATCACGTAGTTATAATACTACCACTACTAATAATACATTTTATTTGAGAGCGCCTTTCAGAATACTCAAGGACACTGTACATGGTAGATTAAGAAAAGCAACATAAAAGCAAGCAGTTTACACAATCATAAAAGCATAAGACATAAAACAAATTTAAAATAGCAGAGTGGAGAGGTTATGTGGGATAAGCTATTTTGAACAAGTGAGTTTTGAGTTGGGACTTAAAGAGAGAGAAGGAAGAGATATTTCTTAAATCAGGAGGTAGGGAATTCCAGAGTCGAGGAGCAGAGCAGCTGAAAGCCCTGCTCCCCATGGTGGCAAGACGGGGGGAGGGGACAGAGAGAGAAAGGGAAGAAGAAGATCTCAGACATCGAGATGGGGTGGCGATCTGAACCAGATCAGAGAGATATGGAAAAGAGAGATAATTAATAGCCTTAAATGTGTACAAGAGTATTTTGAAATTGATACGATATTTGACCGGGAGCCAATGAAGCTGCTGCAGGACAGGAGTGATGCGGTGGATAGATGGGGTCCTGGTGATAATACGAGCAGCAGAGTTCTGGACGCGTTGGAGCTTGTGGATGGATTTTTGAGTAAGACCAAAAAGAAGTGAATTACAATAATCAATCCGGGAAGTAACAAGGCTATGGACAAGAATGGCAGCGGCATGTGGGGTGAGAAAAGGACGGAGACGATTAATGTTGCACAATTGAAAATATGCAAACCGAGTGACATTGTTAATGTGTGAATTGAAAGAGAGAGTACTGTCGAGGATGACACCCAAGCTTTTCCCAGAGGAAGAAACGAAGACCGGCGAGTTATTGATAGTAACAGAGAAACTGTTGGTTCTGGATAATGTTGATTTAGTGCCTACCAAGAGAAGCTCGGATTTATTACTTATTTATGTATTAATTTGATTTGGTTGGCCTGCATTTTTTCTTTGATGATTTTCACAGTAAACTCAAAATCTTTTAGTTCTGAACTGATAGCTGTCCAATGAAAGTGATATTAAGATGTCACTTATGGTTTTAGGATACTGTTATTGACATTTTTAATTGCCTTTACTGGCTATAGTGAGGTTCTTAAATGGGGAGATCAAATGTGTGCTGTGAAAAAAGTCCATTGTGCAGAGTTGCCAAAAGAATGACTGAATCATAAGATATTTGTATTATGATTAAATCAATAAACTTAACAAGCATACCCATCACTGTCCATCAATAAAATAAAACTGCACCTGTTTATGTTTATGATGTGCCCATCGTCCACATTTCTCTCTTTCATTGACTGATAAGCTTCACGTGCACAGATACACAGTGCAAGAACATTCACCTGTAAGAAACCAGCAGTGAAATAAACAGTAAAGAACATTTTTGGAATCATCCATCCATCCATTCACTTCTGCTTATCTTCTTTCAGGGTCACAGGGGGCGCTGGAGCCTATCCCAGCTGTGTTAGGGCAAGAGGCAGGGTACACCCTGGACAGGTCGCCAGTCTGTCGCAGGACTAACACACAGACAGAGACAATCATTCACACTCACATTCGCTCCCGCATTTACACCTATGGGCCATTTTAGTATTTCCAATTAACCATTCCTTTAAATACTTTAATATATAGTACACACACAACAACATATTACTGCATACCAACCAGGACAAGTTTTTTTCCAAAATAACTCTTACATCCCACATGTTTTTCCAGGCACTGGTTTTGCCATTTAGCAGTGCCTCTAGATGAGCCAAGCCAGCATTGTTGATGCACACATCCACGCCTTTGTGCTGCTCCTTGATTGCGGCGAACATGGACAGAATCTCCTCCTCTTTGCTCAAGTCACACTTGAAAGGCACCAAAACACCAGGGTGGCCGGCGCTCTGACACTCTGCTGCCAGTTTCTGAAAACAAAAAGCAAAAGATGATACCTTCATAATCACCATCGCATTCAGATTCTTGTGGTAAAAATACTCTGGTAAAAGTTGAATTATCGATTAAACTTCTTTACTAAGATAAAAGAGAAATTTTCCAGGCTCTGAAATGAATTCAAAGCATAAAAGTAAGAAGATAAGGACATTTCAATTATTTTGCAAAGGAAACTTAACCTTGTACAACTCCAACATAATAGCAAAATTAGACATGGGAATGAAAACAATGAATATATGAGTATAGTCAGGGGCTAAAATGGGATTTGCAGATGTGAGAACCCTAAGATCACTGTAGTGGTTATAGGAGTGTGAGGAAATGAATCAAGAGTCACAATAGGCTCTATTGAGAGCTCCGGCAGATTTTTTTCTCTACAGGCTGTGATCAGCTGACCTGTGCTGTGGCTGTTGACCCGAGGTTCACTGCTCTTTGTGGATTTACACAACTCATCAGTATGTAAGTAAGTAAAGTAAGTAAGTAAAGTTTATTTATTAAGCGCTTTTCATAGACAGGTAGTCAAAGCGCTGCACACAGAGATTAAAATAAACAGTACGATAAATAGCAAAATGCACAATATACACAATATAGAGTTTAAATGTAAATTAAAAATATAAAAATGTAAAAAGCATTGGTCAACAGAAAGCTTGTTTAAACAGTAAAGTTTTTAACTGTTTTTTTAATGTATGTAAGATATTATGTCTGATCTGGTATTGTGCAGCTCATTTTACCCATGCATATTGACCAATATGTACAGCATAAATTATTTATTGTAAAACAAAAAGTCTGTCGCTTGACAGCCATTATATGATGTCCGCTTGACAGAGCTACATAACTGCATATTTGCATAACATTAAAAAGTCCTTTGCATTAGAGTTTTACATTAAGTGTTTCTCTTCTGAAATCCAGTTTGTTATTTCAGAGCAAACCTGTATTTTCCCCACGTCCCTGGCGCAGCCCACCACTTTCATACCGAGCCGGACCAGCTCCACGGCTACAGCCGCCCCAATCCCGACCGAGGCTCCGGTCACCAGAGCCACTCTGCCCCGCCAGCGCTCCATCACTGACAAGATAGATATTCCCGACAGAAATAGTTTCCTCTGAGTCGGGAGCACGCAGCAGGTAGGGAGAACGGATCCCGTTGACTCCGCCTCCATTCCAACCAACTAGACGTAGAAACAGTGACGAACTGTCAAAAACCTAAAGACGAGTGTCGTTACATTACTGTTCAGTTTGTGGGTTTGTGGTAAAATGATACGTTTATTGTTCTCATGTGTTATCAGCAGTGTTGGTCAAGTTACTTGAAAATAGTAAGTAGTTACTAATTACTGATTACTTATTTTTAAAAGTAAATAGTTAC